CGTTATAAATATGGCAATAGGCTCACCCCCGATTACATGGAACTCATACCATAAATAGTGAAAAGTGGGTGTTACATAGTAGAGTGGCATTAAGTACCTTAATGTGCACTTTACCTAATCTTTCGTAGTTAGTTACTGTGTCTAAATTTTGCGTTTGAAAACTCGTCGCTACTATCGGTTCAATTTGCATTGGCTGAATTCGAATTAAAAAAAAAAGAATATGTAGTTCTTTGTTTAAAAATAAGTTGATCGGTTAAATAAGGTTTTATTTTCCTATACCGCTTCTTTTCAGGTTTTTCTTTTTTTTTACTATCTATGCGATAAAAATTACATGAATAGGTCTATGTCTGCCTATTTACATAAGAAAAATAGACGTATCGTTTTAATTCTGCATTTTATTTACACATTTGTTACGGTACATTTAAAGTGTTATTTAAAGTGTAGTATTTAAACGAATATCAAAAAATATCCTTTTTCTTTGCAATAAGATTCCGAATTCCCATCAAAATTACTGATTGCATAGCAAAATATTTAACTCAAAATATCACTAAACACACTACAATTTATTTTCGCAGCGTACAACGATTTTGCCTAAAGCAAAAGCTTTTTTCATAAATGCACAGCTAATAATCTTAATGCACATTATATAGGTAAACTCTTTTTCTTTTAAATATAGCTTCTATTTTCAAATTATTTACAACAGTTTTTCTAAATAAAACAGCATTTTAAATTCACTTATTTTATTTAAACTAATATTTTTAATATAAATGGCTAAATGGTCGGGGCTCGCCGGCCGCTGCTGCGGCACCGCTCGCTACGCTCGCTCGCCTCGCGCCTTGTGAGGGTCGCAGTTCTAACCTAACCTAACTAAATGTTTCGGGGTGCCCAAAATTGCTGTGCAGTCAGTATTTATGCTATGGATGTAGTATTTTTGTACAAAAACAAATTTAACTGTATTGCATTATAAGGAAAAAAGGATTGTCATATACATGTATAATTTCGAATTATCTGCAGTTTGAGTTTTGTAAAACATTTAATTTGTTTGTAATGAAGAAAGTTATTTGATGTAAAAAAGAATATGAAGGATGAGTATGTATTGATAGGCGATTACTTATTTGATATGCAATTTATAATATCCCTTATTTAAATAATAATTACCTAATTACAATACATATTAAAAACACGTGCCTACACGCACATAAAATACTTTCATGAAAGAAAATCATAAATATTTGATTGTAAATATTCCGAGATCAAAATTAACAAATTACTTATAAATGTCATCGGAATCTATTCAGCTATTTTAGAGTTTGATCAACACACACATTCATTTATCTCAACTTTCATACACATTACCGAATTCACCTGAGAAAATGTTCCCAAATAGATGCAATCATATCTACAATAGAGTCTCTGTATCACACAATATCTATCACAAGTACAACACTATACGTATTACGCACATCCCGTATTCTAATACACATCACTATCATAGATCACGTGGCCTTGTCAAGCTACTGATGTGATAACGATGCTAGAATTTGTTTTCCTACTATTCGGCTACTGCACATCCTTGGTTATATTGTGTCTAATATTGTTACCCATATAACATAACATAACATATGCCCGAAGAGGTAGGCAGAGGTGCACATTACGGCACTGCCACTTTACAATGTAACACCCACTTTTCACTATTTATGTTATGAGTCCCATGTAATAGAGGATGAGCCTAATACCATATATCGGGCACAATTCCAGACACCGTGTTACTACTGAGACTGTTATTAAAAACCCAGTAATACTTTGCCCGACCTGGGAATCGAGCCCAAAACCCCTTGCCCGGCAGTCGCGCTTGCGACCGCGATATACAATAAAATGTATAGTTGAGGTGGCTAATATTTCTGTGCTTACTAGATTGAGCCACTGTACAGTTTTTATCATCGAATGGCTGTCAGACTCTTATTGACTAAATACCACCCCGTTCCTACTCCTGCACTTCGAGCCGGAGCCCCGGTAACCCTTACCTGAGATCGCGCCGGAGCTCTTCCCGCCACGCACTTAACTGGCGCGGCAGCAGCCACTGTACAATAAGGTTCAATTTGTAAAGCTGGTGCCAAACATGTGCGTACGTTTACATTTATTTGTCCACATAAGTGTTCACATTGTGTGGTACGAACCGGACATAAGTGCAGTAGTGAAGATGTCATAAATGAACTGTCGAATAGCGTGACCATAATTATACTCTATTTGCTAGAACACAAGATGATTTATTTATAGTTTGTAATAAAAAACTAATTGGCGTTATTTTGACCTGTGAGGCAGAAAAACAATTTTTGGTTATAGAATCACACACATATCACGCCTTTAATCCCCCAAGGTATGGCCAGAGGTGCACATTACCCGCTGTCCAATGTAACACCCACTTTTCACTATCTATATATATAAAAGAAAGTCGTGTTAGTTACACCACTTATAACTCAAAAACGGCAGAAGAGATTTGGCTGAAAATTGGTAGGGAGGTAGCTTAGAGCCAGGAGACCGACATAGGATACTTTTTGACCAATACTTCTTTTTACTTTTTACCGAAAATCTCGAACGAGGACGGAAAAAAATGGGATTACGCATACGAAGTCGCGGGCAGAAGCTAGTTTAAGTTAAAAACATCATAAACATAATTATACCTGTAATTCTTATATTCTTCTTACGAATTCACATGCGTAATCCAAATTATCGTCAATACTAAAACTAATACAAGTCATTTCTTCTTCATTCCTTCTCAAAAATAAAAGACTCATCAATCCTCATCATGTTCCAACCATGTAAGGAGCCTAAAATAAATGTTTCTCTATACGTTGCATGTAACTGTTTAGCATAGATCTATATAAAACAAAATATACATGTCTTAATGTTCGTAAAATGCATGTAAATATCAAAAGTACTATAAGAATATATTAATAAATGAAAATATTTTGTTCCACATGTCCAAACCCTCAGGCTGTCTTATAATGAAAAGGTAAGAAACCCATTTTGTTATGAAAGATTGATGTAATAACCTCACTTTTATCTGAAGTCGGTTAAATGAGGAAAAGCATGTTCCGATGGTCCGGACATGTGGTGTACATGATATGGAGTGACAATTGTAGGAGGAAAATGTTTTTGTGAGGATTATGAGTCCTCTCACTGAGGGACGATGGAGGGCTTTATAATAGAAGAGGTTCAATTATTCCCTGGAAGTAGATTAAGTTTGGTTATACAGATAATTAGATTGCAATTCTGTATTGCACGTTGTAGGATGATCGGTTTTTATATTCGCATAGGTATTTTCGCATAGATAATTAAAGTAACTAAATCAACTAGTTTACTTTGTGAATCTAAAATTAGGTTTTTGGTACCTTCTTTTATGTTATCTGTTTCAACAATTATTGTTTTTACTTAGCCATTAGGAACTTTTTTGTCTAATCAACCAAAAACTCGCTGTACCATCTCCTCTATATCAATATGACCAAAATGGACTAGTTATGAACAAGGATATATAGAACGAGTTAAACCGCGCGAGTGTAGCTGTGTTGCTATAATATATAATTATTATGTGCGTGAAAAAAACCGATATCAACGGGTCTTACTTAATAAATAAATCTTTTTGTTGAAAATATATTAAAATTATTATTATACTGCGTTAGTGTGTTATATATAGTTGTGATATAATGTTTATATCAATAATTTATATGCATAGTCGTAAATATATAAAATATTTATTTTTTAGTTAGACACTAAAAGCATTTGCCAATAGGCAAATAATTTTTTTTATATGCATATTTTTTTTGTAAAATTGCAAGTCAATCAGTCAGTCATTAAACTGTCAAATACCAAGCGGTCACCGGTGACCGCAACCTATTGTTCTATAATTGTGTCTGCAAAACCGGTACTCGACGAGTTAATACTGTTTACGTCTATTTTTACCTAAGAAACATTCCAATAATTAAAAATAAATAACCTTCATGAGATTTATTTTTTTTTAATAATTATTCTGCGTTCAGCGGTACATGAAAAAAAAGAAGAAAAGACGTCAAAACCGACGTCAGTTTGTCTAAACAAAATACATTTTTTTTTGAATAATGTAATTGACGATGATATGCTTAAATTGGTCATACACAGGACATACAATGAGTTTGACGTACATTTCCATTAATTGTTTCTATTTCACCGTAAAATTCTACAAAGCTGCAACAAGTAAATTTTTTTTAATGAGCGGAAAAATGCAGTGTGAAAAAGGAGGTTGAATGTGACGTTGAAAAACTCATTTATCATAGATATTTAAACTCTTTCTATGTCTATGGTTCAATGACCATCTAAATGTCAGCAATAGAGAAGTCAGTGTCATTAAAACAGTGATATGAATTATAAAATAATATGAGCTTCTTACGTACCAATTAAACGTTTTTACAATTCATTATATTCCATACAAAGGTAATATTTAGATATTAATTACATAATCCAAACGTTAGGCAAATAATTTCAAATCCTGTTGAGCTACACTGGTTTGTCAATATCTCGATAGTATTCGGCACGCATAATAATCACAAATTCTTTGAATATCTAAGTATTTAGTACCCAAAACTAATATAAAACATTACACGTTCAGATGTGTGTACGTAATGTCAATAGCCTGCAGACGTAGCCCAGCGGCTAGATGTATAAAGTAGACAATGTATTGTCGGCTGCGTCGGCTATTCTCAGGCCACGCAGTGCGAGTGTGTGCGGTATGTGATCAAGAAAAATGTACGAATGCGGCAGTGAGGCGTCGCGTTTGCAGAATCGGCTGCATCACGAGGGCCCCGAGGGGCGCCGCTCTAGCCGTCTTTTTTCATTTTGCGTGCGTCTTTTTTTGGCAGCGCGTTAACCTTGGATTTTTTTCATAGCGAAGCGCTGCACGTACGCGCGCAAGTTTCGGATAGTCGTAGAGCGTCCCCCCACTCAGCGCGCGTCCGAATTTTCTGCATTCGGCCGGCGTGAAGAGTTTTCGGCGGTCGCATTCGCGAGCGAGGCTCCCCACGGCTAGGAGCGAAGCGCGCACCGACATACACGGGCTACGGACGGAGCGGCGCGAGCGCAAACGCGCCATGCAATATGCGGAAGTGATCGCGACCACGACCGAACGGTGCTAAACTAAACGAGTGTAACTCAAGTGTAGTGAACGCACATTCAGTGATACAAACTATGGTATTTGTGCACAGCTCGATAGAGATCTAATGGTTTACTAATAACGATACAAGGACTGTGGACTTTGCGACATGGAATCAAGGAAAGTATTGTTTTACTATAATATGAGTTAGGATATGTACCGATCGGCTCTATTAGCCGGGAGTGCTGGGTGTGACCCGACCAGGAAGTCGCAACGGGGTTATAGAAATGCTCGCTATACTGCTCGCGTAGCTTCATTTGGGAGTCAAGCAGATTTCAGAATAGGTATCAAGATACAGAGTCATTGATAAATACGTGTTGACATCCGCGGCATATGATAAATGTTAATCGCGCGAGGGTGTACAGCAGTTTGCACCTTAAGTTGTTCCTGCATGAGAACGTTTTTGCGCAGTTTCGATACGTCTCTGAATTTTGCATACACGTGCTGCCGTCTCGGGGCTATTGAACTTGATAATGAGACAACCGTATCTTCCACTTTTTGTTCGTCGTTATTGCATCACTAATTCTTCTCTGCGATCTCCTCCGACCGGTTCCCTAGCATTTTCTCTAACCGGAGCCGGAGGTGCGTTATCTAAGATGATTCACGTAGTGCGTTAGGAGGCACATCATCCCAACTAGCCAGTCGCAGTTCGCAACTAGAAACACGATTTTTAACGAGCCCGTCAAAAAGCCAGTTCTACTACATAAGTTTGGGATTAATAATTAATGGGTGCGTATAAATCGCGCTCAAAAGTCGGCCCGGAACCGCTGTGAGGCGAAAACTGGTCGCGCAACGCATTAACATTTGCATAGAAACTGTCAAAGTGGCCTCGTGCGGCCGCTGTCCATGTACGAGCTATTAGCACCTAGACACCGGCCGCGGCCGCGGTCAGCGTCAACCGATCGGCTTGTGTTTCGTTTGCGCTTCTGCAGATGTCTGTCTTCACGTCATAGATATCTCCGCCACAATAATAAACTATATGCCCTTCAGTATACAGCCGCGTTTCCCAAATCACCGCTCTAGCAGAGGCGTATGATTTGAATTTTCGGTTAGGGCCTCTCGATTCTACTCGTATAATATCGTTGCATTGATAAAAATTTAAACACAAATTTCGGTTATCTAATTATCTGAGACTTTCATCTTCGTTAGTATCTTTGGTGATGTTTGCCGAGACAATTCTTGTGTAAACACAACATTTTAGAGTTCATTTTCCCTTAATTTTCAGATGATATCGTTTGTTATTTTCTTGAAGGTTGACCTTACATAATGTGACAACATCCAATGTTTATTATCATACATCGATTTTATTAAATTTTAATTGGAATAATTAATGATAATTTATTTGGGTTTAAATCGTAGCGTACATGGCAACAGAAACATTTATTCGGAATGTAATGAGTACACAAAGATCACAGACAGATGCGAAAACATTGACTATTTGTTCCTTAAATAATGCCGTAACAGCTGAATCGAATTGGATGAGATTTACCATGGCTTTTATTGAAGCTCTAATCAAAACGAATGATTCGTTTCTGAAGTCAGAAACTGTTTGAATGTTTTAGCAACATTTTTTGCCGGTAATTAAAATATCTTCATCAGATGGTTCGTTTGTTGTACATAGTTTTGTTTGTAATCCTGTTTTTTCCTTTCATTTATTTGTGTGCGAGTCTCGTCCAGTGCCATTCATCTAGTGACTGCCTAAACACGTATTTCCTGCTTCTTGCCGAGAGATTTTTTTGGACCTCAAATCTTGTTTGTCATCATTCTTTTATCTTAATTTATTGTAATAGCTTTAGGACAAAGTTCATTGGTGGATATTTTTGAATTTGCAATGCGGTACTAATTTAGTTTTTATAGTTAGTTTTATTTCAGTTTTTATTTTCTATTTATGGTTTGATAGTTTGTAGACTGTGGCTGCTAGATTAGTTGTAGTGAATTTCACAACAAGTTGCTCTAGTTTTATAGATTTTTGTTGATTCATAAGACTGAATATATATAGTGATTTAAAGCAAGTGATAATTATGTAAATATGATAGTTACAGTAAGCGAAAATACAAAGCAATCTAAAAGTTGCCAAAGCTATTCCTTTGTAACTTCATTTGTTTTTCTCGACTGTACGGTTCGGTGACCTGCAGTTATACAATTAGACCTGGACTAGCCTACGCCATTATATTTTCCACACGATACAGCTGCAAGTAGGCCAAAACAGTGTGGATTTATGGCCTTAATACATTTTGGCCTTTACATTTTTTATACAATGTAGCTACAATAGTTGAGATGGATTGTTAAATCAACATCATATAAAAAAAAATAACTAGGTATACTCGAACCTGCAATATGAGTAACTGATTTGAATAATTACCAACATTAAATTAAATGATAAAATTATGAAGTGTGTGTACATTAGTTTAACGTAAGTCGGCAGGCAGAAGTTAGCAACATAATAGTAGGTATATTATGCTTAAATATGTTCGTGAAGGTCGCACAAATTTTACATTTGTCGCGTCACAAATAGAGACATCCAATAGAAAACCGTTTGAGGCTAGTGATCTATTCTAAATACAAACGTTGTTCGATTATTAAATCGTTTTAAGGTTTTGGATAGCAGCTATGGAGTCTTCCTTTAGAATGTACTGAGATCTATTGCAGTAAATGTTGATAGAAAAGCTTTTTACTGAAATTTTAAATGACTAGTAGTCTTAGTTGTATTATAACTTGTTTACGTATCGTCGTTAGGTTATACATAATTTGGTTTAGCATTAAACCAGTTTTAACTTATTACCATTGTCAGAGAAATTTTATTTTGGGTAAGATTCAAAAGGAAATTTACATATACAAAACTATAGAGCTTTTTTATAGGGCTAAATTCAAAAAATTCAAAATTCTTTTATTCACATTTAAATAGAGTCATTACATTTGATGGTTTTTATGTTACATCCTTTGTTCTTATAGTCTTTTTAGCCTGTTTAGGGCATATGAAGTTAAGTACATTTAAAAAAGGAAAGGAGTGGTTGTACATAATTATAATCAATAATAATCCAATTCAATAACATTCATAATATAATTCAATTAAATTCGAGTCGGAATCCAATACAAATATGAAGTCAAATATTTTATTTTGCTGAACAATGTCAATTATAAACTCTGTCATCAAATACTATCTAAAATATATAGATTCCGTATTGTGACAGAAAAATTTTAAACCGTCACCATGAAATTTGAAGAAAATGTTTTTATTATTGTTTAAGTCCTTGCGACGAATATTCTCTAGGACATTGCAATGAAAGTATTACTTGATTAAAAGTGCGTTTGCGATGATATATGAAATTTCATGATAACGCATTGCAGTACCTGTCCATTATGAATATTTTGATTAGCCTCAATTATAATTATGACAGACGATTAAATCGACGCTCCCAACCAAGAACTCGGTAATGTGCTATTATCGGGTTTATGCTGTTATGTCAATTTCGGCGCGTATGGACTTGAATACACCTTGACAATTTTTCTCAGATTTTTCCTAATAATAGTTACAAAGATATCATGACGCACATGTTTATTGTTGGGAATTAATACACAATAATATCTCGGCAAAAAACATGTTATACATCTGTACGAAAAAACAATTTATATTTTATTTTGGTAAGTTGCGATTACCGGGTTATTGCCGTAAATAATTTTCATGAAGATTTAGGTTGTACGTGTGTACGGGGTTTTTGTTGAATTCATTGTAAAATACGTATTCCGTAATACACACTAACAATGTTATTGAAGATTGGTATTGGCTCATTAATGTACGTAATATTTTATATTACGTACATTAATGAGCCAAAGTTATTGTGGTAATTTAAATAATATTTTAAATTACCACAATAACTCCGTAAAAACACGTTATGTATCAGCCCCACGATAAAAAAAAACCCCGTAGAAGTCCATAATATAATGTTATGAAATATTTCATTTGATAAATTTACTGCAATAATCCCGTAAGTACTATTACCATAATATTTTATGTATAAAATTTTAGGTATTATTTATTTTCCTAAATTACTAGGTATTTAATAAAAGGAATGTCATTTTAATGGCACAGGTATATTCCGCAAAAAAATAGCTTTCATTTAACACATCAATGACTTCAATAGTCCCACTCGTTGAAAAGGTATTTGATAAAATCAGTAAATCTTTTCTCCTGTAAAATTTTGATTTATCGATTACTGGGTTATTGTTTGGAAGCGTCGAAATGTATTGAGATAGGCGATTGAATTAAATTAAATTACCTTTTATCTCCGACATAATATTACAATTATCGTGAAATTTGGGCAAACTGATAAATAATTCATTTTGAATGTTACTCAAATGTTCTTGATCCACGAAAATCATTGATATTTTTATGAACTAAATATATGAAAATACACAACACAATACAATTTTTTTTTGTGCAGATTGCATTTCGTTTGAGACAAATAAACTTTAAATTCAGGAATTGTCTTTCACTTCTAGCGATAATTAATGCAACCTATTGAGATTTGATTGACTTTTGCAAAGTTCGAAAATCTAAGAGATTCTATTAATAATAGAGGCTATTTTATCAATAAAACTAAACGAGGCACGTCCATGACACGCACCTATATGTACGTTCATATTCATAAAACACAAAAAAATAAGAAGATATGAAATAATTATTATGAAATTAAATAATAGTACAGTTTCTACGCATTGCTTAGAAACAAATTTGTACACACGTGGTATCTTTGCAACGAAAGATAACCTCGAGCACAACGCACAATGATAAGAATGATTAGCTACAACCGAGTTACTTTGACAGTGCGTCGGAATTCAATATCAGTTGGTAGGTACTGACGTGGAATTTTGAGACACGTAGACTTATTTTTTTACAATTTGTATATAATTGGGCTTCACCCAGTTGTACAGTCTCTTTTCTTTGTGCTTTCACGTTGATTTACTCTGTCTCCTGCAGTAATTCACCGAGGGAAGTGAAAATTATCATATTTTTTCTCCTCTTATAATATCTGCTGATTCACTTCGTTGCGGGAACCAACAGACAACGGACAGTTATCCATGTCCCTGGGACGCGCCGGACTTCAGTGTTCCGGTGTTTT